GCAAATTGTGCAGGTTTCTTAATTAAAACAAGAATCCTGATCATTTCAATTTTAGGTTCTTTATTTGTTTCAGTTTAATTTTTAGCTTTAAAAAAATGAGCTCGTTTGCTTATTCATTTTGTGCACTTGAAGTCAGTTCATAATGCTAAAAATTAAGTATTCCTTACTATTGTATTTAAAGGGAGATAGGGGAAATGCCTGTACATTTTCTCTAATGTGTAAAGCAGCCCCTCACAAGCTGGGGGTATATTTGTTCACCTCTTTGCTTAAGAAAATGTGGCAAAAGCTGCACCTACTTATTCATACGCCTCACTTATGCAGCTCTATCTCATCCTCAAAGCCAGGCCTGATTGCTTGCCATGCCTGGGATGTGATTTGGGGGAATTGCCTGAGTACTTCAACTTTGATTCTTTTTTTGTAGTAATTGCATGCGTGTCTTAGGTAAATCACTTCCTGGTTTTCCTTTTTTTTCCCCCACAAACACAAAGCCTTGATCATCTGCAGAAAAGAGAAGACAAAAAAATCAGTAATTCAAGATTCAGCTGGCCAGAATTTGCAGAAATGCTGTTTTTCAAATGGCCTCCTTAGAAAGCTGGTATTAAAATAGAAGGTGATGCATTTAAGTTTATTTTTAACTAATAGATATCCTGTATAGCAATAGCTCTCACCAGACTCAAAAAATCTAATGTAAATCCTGCTTTGAAGAGGTTTTATTAGTTTGCTGAATTAGTAGGTGCTTCCCTCAGGAGATTGCATCAATCAATAAGTGTGTCTGCTGCTCTTTTGCCCCCTTCTGCACACCTGATAGGGCAGGTGACCCTCAGTAACCCCATAAGCCTGGCCCCTTCAAGGACCCTCACCTGTGTGTCTGCCCCAGCTCTGAACGGGTATCTCTATCAGGGGACAGATATTGACACAGGCTGTTGCTATTTAGGAAAAGCCCTGAAACTCTGCTCACCTTTAAACCTGGGTGTTCCTGCAGGAGGTTATGCTTAAGGAAATGCTAAGGGAAAGCAGCTGCCAAACACAGACTGTTGTAGGGCTTTGTTCTGACTTCCTTCTGACCTTTGGGTTTCTAACTGTGCACATAAAAGCCTGGCTTCAGGTATCGTTAAGGAAACGTGTTCCTAGCTTTGGCAAGGCTGCCTGGCTGGGGCAGGAGAAGCAGCCTTGTGAAGGTGGCAGAGTGCTCTGAACTGTGCAGGCAGTGGGAGAGAGCAGCATGAGTGGATGTGTCTGTGGGATGTGGATGGGGCTGCCTTGGTGATTCCTGCATGACCAGGGCTGCTCCTGCTGCTGCTTGGAGCACAGTGTGGGGCAGTAACCTGTCCTTACGTGAGGAAATGCAGAGCTACAGAAATCACACACTTGCCTTGAATTTTTTTTCTCTATTTGCTTATAACTTCCATTCAGAATGGATTTGCTTTTACTTCTTCCTCTGATGTTCCCTTCCTCTTTTAACTGCCCCTTTTTGCTCTTCAGTGGTGGTATATTTTGTTAAAAAGTCAAGTTACTCTTCTGGTGGATACAAGTATTCAATGTTTTGAACACTGGGACTTCTACTCCATGTATTAGGTGAAATACTGTCAAAAAGCATAGAAAAAGAAGTTACCTTTTCAATTTTATCATAGATGTTGTCATTATTCTTGTATCAGTGAAGAATCTTGAGGCCATCCATGTCTGTAGACCCAAATACCCAGAGTTGCAGAGAAATCCATGCTTTAACTGAAGTTCCTCCCCAGCTTTTTACTCCCACCCAGCCCAGGATAAGGCACATTCTGTGGTTTTACTTCTACAGTAGCAGCAGGCTCATCTCTAGCACACTGGAAGGAGTAAAACAGCAGAGAAACTATGAAATAGTTTGGAGACTGTGGTGGTTCCAGAGAGTAAGTGAGGCATACAAGTTTCATGGACATAATATAAATAATATCCAATATAAACAAAAGGAAGTACAATAATCTCATGGAACAAAGATCCTGTTTCCTGTCAGATCTGTCTGTCAGTACCTATTCTGTAGTAGCCATTGTCCAATAGCTCGGCATTTATTGTTTTTCACCACATTATCTCACCTTCTAGATTCCCTGATGGGCATGTCAGATATGTTTGGGCCAATCTATTGCTTGTTCCACCCCTCAGATCTTCCCTCCAGCACCAGGAATTCAAAATACATCAGAAACAGAAAAAAATGAATTAAGCATCTAGGCTGAACTGTATCTCACCTATGTCCCACTAAAGGTTTATACTGAGTTGGGATTTGTGATTTAACATTTTCCTCTTCCTTTAGCCCACATTTCTGTCCTACAAACTTTATCAGTGTGCAGTGCATATAGAAGGTTTCATGCTTATAATGAGTAATTTGATTAGCATGTGATGTTCTGTACAAAATGCAGGTTTGGGTGATATAAATTGAATTCTGGATGAGTTATAAACGGTTTATGACTGAGGGGTTTTTTTCACTGTGAGCGTAAAATAATAACCAGCTTTAAGGAAATATTATAACTGAAGAATGGCTGGTGACAAAAGGGCTTTTTGTGGCTACTTTGCAATATTCCTGTCTGGGAATTATGGGCCTGCAGAAGGCAAGTGCAGCCTTGTATAAACCCTACAAAATCCACTTGCAGGATTTATAACAAAATTTAATTTTTAACTTATTCTCTGTGAAACTTCAGTTGGAAGTCCTTGTGGGTTACTTCTTAAGGGATTGCAGAAATTAAGAAGAGTATGACTATTACAAATAAATATAAATATATTAGGTAAAATAATTGTAAATAAAACATGCACTCATGAGTGTTTAGTCCAATTAGAAGAGGTTTACAGAGATATGAATCAAAGATAATAAGCACTAATGCATTTAACTCATGGACAGCAAAGAAATAAAGAAGAATTAGAAAGGTGGGACAAAGTTGTGGCTACCACTAAGAGACACAAGTAACTTATTACATTTAGTTGCCATGTTTATTCATGCAAGGTATTAATGGTTCATGTTCATCATGGAGAATATTTAATTCAGTGAAATTTTTAAAAGTGAAAAACATGATTCTGGGTTCTCTATCATTCAGCTGAACAACAATTACAAATTCAGATGATCCAGATGCAAAATTTAAATTCTTAACTTGACAGGATGATTTATGAGGCACTGCAAAATTATATTCTCCTGTCTACTCTATCCTTTTGCTTCGGTCTCTGTATAAGCCTAAAAGTTCTATTTGTTACATGCCAGAATATTTCCCCCTGTGTTACCCGTGCTGTTTGGCTTGTGATTGTCAGCTTGCTCAGGACTTCATGCTTCGAGGATTTAAAGAAAAAGCATTGATGATCTCTGGAGTCCATAGACAATATCAGAATGCACTAGCTAGCTTTTCCTATTACAGGCACGATTTGAAGCACTGAACTAGGTAATGAATTATCCACAAAACATAGAGAACATTGTGACTAGGCAGGCTGGAAATCAGCCATAATATTAAAAAGCAGTTGCAGGAAAAGGTTTTTTGTATTTTTTCTTTCTTGTTCCACACAGGAATTCATATTCTTCTTGCACTCCACACATGATGTATAACGAGCAAGTGAGACATAAAAATAGTGCTAAGAATTGCATACACCTTGGGCATCCAAAGCAGGGAGTCAGAGCAGCCTGCAATGTAGGACTGGTGTGACTAATGATGATGAGAGTATATCACAAAAATGTGCAAAATGAAGGTTGCCTGGCTCTTGTTTCAGCTGCATACCTTTAATGGCAGCTATAAATATGTACATTTGGGAAGATAGGTCTGCTTCCCCTATGCTGAGTGGCTTTCCCTGGGGTGACCTCAGCCTTGCAGCACCTGAGGTGATGTGCAAGGAGTCTGGCTCTCCTTGGGTTTGCTGCTCATGGCTTCATGCAAGGCACCACAGGAAGGTCGCTGTGGTTTTGGAGTTGGAGATATCCTTTCAGGTTTAATTCAACTTGTTAATAAAAGAAATTAGAAAAAATATGGGTATATTGGATGTTTGAGAGCGTAAATCAATAGAGGAGGATGGGTGGTTTCCTCAGATGTTGCAAGTGGCTTCCCTGGAGCCATAATATCAAACCTTTTCCAAGTTCAACAAAGCTCAGATAGCAATATGATAATTATCAAATGTTTTTTCACAACTGTACTGTTGAAAGGTAACTGGTAGCTGCTAAATTATCTGATAAGCACCAGGCAAGAAATATTTACTTTTCAGTGAACTACAACTTCTCCTGGCTGGTTGGAGCCTTTGTAATCAATTTATAAATTACTTTCTTTACATCTACTCTCTTTGTTCTTGCAGTGAAGTAAAATCCATAATATTCAAATATGGTCTGTACTTTACATTCCCTTAACTGTTACACTTCCTAGCATGAAAAGAAATGCATTTTATGGATTTCTTTTCCTGCTGTGAACTCCTGTAAGCATAAGAGTGATAACAAATGTGTGCTGTTTGGGGTTTTTCCTCAGTTATTTTGCAAATCTCAAAGCCTGTAACTGCTGTGATGAAGATGCTCCTGGCTATGGCAGCTTTTCCATGGGTTTTGTAGAGGTGCACAGCCCTGCTAAAGCATGCCTCAGGTTCTGTGCCTGGGAGCTGGGAGGTGGTGTGCAGAACAACCCAGTGAAACATCTGCCTCATTTCCAGAACCCCCGGGGCAGTGCCAGGCTCAGCCGAGCACAGTGCAGGATTCCTGCTGCCACCTGCTCTCCCCTGCTCTCCCTGCAGTGCCTCAGCTCAGTCTGGTGTCTCCCAGCCCTGCCCAGGCTGCAGCTCTGGGTGCCTTTGCCAGGAACCTGCTTTGCTGTCAACAGGCCACAGGCAGTGTTGGAAGAACCAAAATTTCACGCATTTTTATGAACCTCTCAGCACTCCATCTAGCAATGAGTGCCAGCATGTACAGTACTTGGTTAAAAATTGCTTCGTACACCCCACTTTTTCTTTTAAACTATTATTACCTTTCTCCTGATTTTTTTCTCTTTTGTAACATCTCCTTTGTCTTCTATTCACAGGCTGGTTTACAGACCTACTGCTTCCTAGTGTTTGCTGGCATCTGCTTTGCAGGAGCGACCTACCTGTTTTTTGTCCTGCCTGAAACAAAAAATAAGACATTTCATGAGATCAGCCAAGCATTTGCCAAAAGGAATAAAGTAGATTTGGAAATGCAAGAGATGAACCACTACCCAGGGGAGAGGAAATCAAGCGAAGAACAAGAATCAAACTTCACATCTTCAGTGGACAATGGGGAAACCAAAAAAGGGATTGTGTAAACCCAGGATGCTCCTTTAGGGGATGGGGGAAAGTGTGCTCTTTTCATTTATAGCAGTGCACAACTTGTATATTTTATGACCTCATGAACCGCTTCCCCCTTGCAAATATTCTAAGTGAGTATGGGTGAATTCATTAGCAGCTGGGGCAATGGTGGAGACAATGAGGGGTGAGAGGAGAGGCAACTGACAAAATAAATGAGATGGAGTCTCCTTGGCACCTGTGAAGCAAGTGCTGGGGTGAGTGGGGTGGGGAATACAGACTTGGAGACGTGAAGAGGCAGTGGGGACCAGGGTTCTGAGCACCCCAATGTGCTCACAGGGAGGTGTGCATGCTCTCCCCAAGAGGAGCAGGAGGAGGCAGGGACAAGGGAGGAGATCCCAGTGGGGGCCTGCTGAGAAGCCAACCTGAAACAGCACCAGAAGGTTTTTCTCCACTTTCCCAAGATGTCATTCAAGCTACCCATGAGAACTGACATGACACTTCCCTGACCTCCCATTCCTTTTCTAGCTATTTTGACTTCCAGTTGCATTGCTTGCAACATCTCCCACCTTCCTGCAAATAGGCAGCTCTGGGTCCTGATGAGTTTACTTGTCTCACTTGCAAATCCTGATTCACTAGTAATAGAATTGTCTCTAGTTTCTGGGTTTGCTGGCACTGCATTTCTCTGAAGATATGTATTTACATAATTTTATTTTTTAAGAATAAACTTAGAAGATTTAATATGAAAAGAAAACTAAACCTTATGGTGAAGTGAGAGGACTCTGATGGTATGTGTAGGACACGGTATTGAAACAAAAATTCAAACATTAAATGTTCCAAGTGCTGGGGTTTTTTAATTGTTTTGTTTATTGCTTTTATTTTCAAATTCCTTTTAAAACAAGTCTTAGGAGTCCAAATTTCTCTGAGACCTGATAACTTAGCTCTTAACAGTCAGATCTCTGCATAGGAATTTGGGTCCCTATTTCTTACTTAAACACTAATTTTTATTTGGGCATTAGATTCTGAAGCACCAGGCCTAGTTCACATTTATAAGTTTCTGAGCTGTCCAAAGCTTTTTAAAACTGCTTGATTTCATGAGAGAAAGACTCAGCAGGCTCTCAGTGGTTCAGCAAACAATTAATGGGATTTTTTTCATAATGAACATAATCTTTACAGTTTGTAATTTTGATAACAGTTTCTCTTGATCCCTTTAGGTACCTAGATGTTGAGTAGTAATAAGAATTTTAAAATTTAATAGCTGTTTTATATGAAAAGTCAGTAAGTCTTTGAGCTGCTCTCAGTTAGGAGTAAGACACAAGAAGAAACTGCAGCATGTAGGTAAAGTCAACTGTTTCCACAAGTTACATTTAGTGATCTAGAAATTCATGCATTTGGAGCATTTTTTGTGAGAAAATTTCCATACATATTCATATATGTATGCATATATGAATATATATACATTTCAAGTATAGATATATATTAATATTCAATTAATATTAGTGGCTTCAAGATGGAAGAGGGTAGATAGAAATTGGATATTAGGAAGAAATTCTTTACTGTGGGGGTGATGAGGCACTGGAAGAGGTCGCCCAGAGAAGCTGTGGTTGCTCCATCCCCAGAATTGTTCAATTTCAGATTGGAAGGGGATTTGAGCAACCTGGTCTAGTGGAAGGTGTCCTTGCCCACGGTGGGGGACTGGACCAAGATGATCTTTAAGGTGCCTTCCAACCCAGGCTATTCTATGATTCCGTGATTTATATTCATATTATATATACACATACAATGGATAATTATTTTCCAGTATCTGGGGGGTGGGGGTTGTTTGTATTTCTCCAAGTGATAAGCTGGTTTTAGTTTTGTTCTACACTGTAAATTACACTGTAAATTAAAATCAGAGATCCTAATGTTCAGCTGTTACTACTAATTTATGTATATAGTTTTATACTGTGATATATTTGTGTGGTGTATTTACCACAGACATTGTAAGCTGACCTAATAGGGCAATTTCATTACTAGATAATTGACAAAAAATTGATGGGTGCTTTTGTGTCAGACTTTGTTTTTTTCTACTGGCATAGAGGTACAGCAGCAAGAGAAAGAGAATTAAGAATGAAAAATTAAAAATGTATGGGTTTGATGCTACTATTAAGAAAGAGAGTGAAGTAAGATTCTACCAACTGACAGTCATAAATGGAATCTAACCAAATACTGTGGAGAAAACTGAAGAAAAATTTTATTTTAATAACCACTTGTAAAATTATATATACAGTAAATGAAAATATTACCTTTCAGTGCCTTTAGTTCCTTATTCCAAGAGTTATATGAGGCTTGCTAAGGGAATGGCTATGTAAACATTGAGTGTGAATGCCAGCCCTTCAGAAAATTACCTGAAAATTTTCTTCTTTTTTGCCTGCAGGGCAAGACTGGCAAATCCAGACTATCTCCTTCAGACTGGGAATTACCTTACTTTGTAGTTAGGGCTACTAACATGGTATGACGAGATTGGAAACCAATATTATTAGAATGAGAAGAATTTAACACTTAGTGCTGTTCATTAATGTCCATTACAGACACTGTTGAAAATGTTACAATTGGATAACTTAAATTAAATATCATGCTGACCTGATACAGCAGTTGTATCAGAAATCAGGACTTCTGCAACAAAATGAAATCATCTTACATTTGCCTACAGTTGCATTTGGAGCCCAGCTTTGAATGGATAGGTAGAGATGTCTTGATAGAATTTCCTATCACAGCTTGGGGGCCTTGTAGAGCATTAACAGCAAGGGGTCATGTTTTCATTTCTGCAGTCCCATTTGTCCTCCTCTTGTCCTCCCTGAGAAGGGCACACACTTTGTGTGTGGCTGCAAAGAGCTGCTACAGACTGGGTACGGTGTGGGACGAGGGTTCCACATCTCACCAGATTTTTGCTGCCATCCATGTTCAAAGCAATTCCAGGCCAAGCTAGTGCTTTGTTCACTGGCCAGGGAAGTGTCCTCTGCCTTGGGCTGTGGAAGTTTGAGATATGCCAGTATTTCATTAATTTTCTCATCTCTGACCCTAATGAGAGTTTTGTGTTCCTCTTGTTCCATAAAGATTTTTCTATGGTTAAGCTGCTATGATTTCTCCAGCAATGAGAGGAGAACATGGAAAATATCAGCAATTTATAGTTTATTTTTTCTTGTTGAATGTATCAAATTGTCTATAGCCTGTGTGTTTGTCAGCAAGTGTTGTGTGGTGCCACATTCCCTTTTCCTATCTGACATGGTGGTGAGGTACTGTGAGCTGGTGTTTGTATGGCTACCACAAGTCTGTGTCATCAACTATGTCCATGCACAGTGACTGCAAAATAAACCTTTGGAATAAAATTTAAATTATGTGGATTTTGTTCTGGGTAAATCTGAACCTCCACACGTGCACATGTTTCAAATCCCCCAGGATTTTTATATCCCAGTACAAGACTGCTCAGTCCTGCGTCTGGATGACCCAAGCCATTGTGAGCTCTGCAGTTGGGTGGTTTGGAGTTATGGGAAGAAAATGGTCCCCTGTATACTTTTTGAAGCATTATTTATATTTTGATTCTCAAATCAGATTTCACACTTCGTTCTTTTGTATGTTAATATTGGGCTTTAGAAATAAAAATGCAGAAAACAGTGTGAAGAAAATTATTGAAACTGGCTAGTAGTAGTAATAACTGTATATAAGAATTGTTGAAACTGGTGAGACCTTTTGCAGAAAGTTATCATTTGCAATGTATGAGTTGCTACAGCTCTACTTTCTGATGAGAAATTCAGTCAAGTGACTATTTCTGCTATAAGGATATGCAAAAACTGAAATCTGAAATATGTATAAAAAATTGAATTTCATATTTCAGGTTTTGAAGCCAATTTTTATTCCACAAGGATCTTCTTTCTAGTGGGGGAAGATGTGAGTAATAATCCATATGTGATAATTTCCATCTTCAGAGTAAAATTAAAAATTTAAAAAGAAAAAAACAATTTTAAAAAAAGCGCTCCAAAACCAACTCTTTGAAATTTGCTTTCTTTCATTTGACTATTTTTATGTGCTTTTCCTTACAGACATCACCATATAAACCATTGGAGCTCAGATCACCTCACACAGCAGGAAAAACAAATCCAAGTAAAGTATTCTTAGGAAATGCCTGTGGACTTTTCCTTCCAGTCTAACCCTAGTAAACAGAGTTCAGATAAAATCTAAAAACCTGAAATGCATAGGCCCAAACTGAAGCAGGTTTGTTAAGGTAAACACTTAACACATTTGTGCAGTTAAAACATTAAGATTTGAGTCCATACTTAATTCTCTCTACAAGTGATTTTATTTGAAAATGAGCTCCATGGAAAGGTGAATTTCGTGGCGAGTGCTTGGTGCTTGGACTCCTAATCAAGTTATCACAGCTCAGTAAGCAATCATGCACAACCTGAGTCACTGGAGCCCTCTTCCTTGCAGGCTAAGCTGCATTAACCTTGCTTTTGCCATGACCTAAGAGAAACATGGGCCATGGATAATTGAGCTGGTTTTTGAGATGTTCCCGCTAAAGCTTCACCGCAGTTAAACTCTTTTAAACCTGGATTCCGAATTTTTTTTAAAAAGTACATAAGGAAAGCTTTCAGGAGACATTTACACAGTGTATAGTGATGGCAACAGGAATCTTCTCAAGTGGTTTCAACTACACACGTGTACCCAAGAAAGACATGGTATACGTACAGGAATTCTAAGCTTGGGGAAACCCAGAAAATTTTTATCTCCTTTAGATAGTAAACCAGTGGCTTGTTTCCTCAGTCTAGGAAAATACCAGCAAAATTCAGAGACTGCAAAAGCACTGATGTGAGGCATTTATTCTGAGTTTGAGAGCAGGTTGGTTGGTTGAAGATTTGTTGGGGGTTTTTTTTAAGAGAACGCTTTTAGTCTGGCTCATACACCAAAGTAGGGTACCAAGAATGAGACTGCTGAAGTTGTTGGTTGCCTTAAGATTATTCCCAAAGGTATAAAGCCAAATATAACTCTGTCAGACCCTTGAAACACAATCCATTAAGAGCATGATCTTGCAGATGTAGGAAGTAATTTGTCTGCTGCTGTGTAAGGTGCCATGCAGAGACATTGATTTTTGCTTCATTTTCTCTTGGTCCTCTCAGTTTAAAAAGTCAGTCAAGCTAAATGCAATGCTCACCTCTACATTTATTCCACCTTTGTTTCTGACTTGTTCCACCCATTTATATAAAAATTTTTACAGTTCACACTTGAAAATCAAAAAACAATAGTTACTTAGGAAACACAAACTTGCCAACGATTACAAAAGTGAGAAATACAATTTTCTCTACAGGCTGGCATTTACAAAGATGAATTCAAGAATTAATCCTTTCAATCCAAATTTCATGTAATTTCATCTCTTTGAATTAAACTTTACTGTCCATGCATATGCATGTGTGTATAGAGACACTTTTATCTTATCTCATAAAAGAAGTTCAGCAACTTTAATACTTATACACAAAATTGGACCATTTGGATACTATATCAAGTTGTGAACTGGACAGGTCAGATAC